GGTGGAATTCTACAAAAAAGTTGTCAACTACAAAATTGAAGCTCTAGTCTTGTTTAGTATTCTCTCGAACTTTCAAATTAAGGCTATAAGTTTGAAATGCGTTCTTCGGAAAATGACAAACGTATTTTGCCGCTTCGGAGGGGGTGGCGCAAAAAAAGAGGACCTCTTCCACGTGGCATATCTCTCCAGGGCTTAATTTCGTAAAAAAGTTGTCAACTACAAAAATAAAGCTATAGTCTTGTTTATTATAGACTGAAATTTTCACAAAAACTGAGAAAAGTCGAGTTACTACTGTAGGTCCTCAAAGTTGAAGACCTGAAAAAGTGCAAAATTCGAAAAGGTCAAGGTGTTTTTGTAGAAGATCGAATATTAGGCTAAAGTTACTTTTTATAGGCTCGAAGCCTTCTGTGTGTTGAGATTTTGGGTTAAAATATGAACGGTATCGCTACAGCTACACAGTCGCAAATTCTTACCTTTTACACTGAAAATTCGACCCCGGCGTCCGCACAAATCGATCCGAGTTCTCGTGATTCGGCTGATTCTCATAGATCTTTCGCGCCTTCTGCCTCGCATTCTGGAACCACACGACAATTACCCGTGGGCTCAACTGCAACTTCTTGCTCAACGCTTCCAAGTCATCATCTTTTGGATAGGCTTGCTTGTCAAAGAACTGCTGAAGCGTGCGTAGCTGGAAATCCGTGAATCGTGTTCGATTGGCTCTCCGACCACTAGAAGTTGTGTTACATGACGACGGGGTTGATGGATTGGTCATGGGGTTCGCGGCAGCGGCCATAAAAGTGGTTGGGTCGAAAAAGTTGTTTTGCATTTGAGAGAGCATTGCTTGGAGGTTGAGCTGAGAGGAAGAAGCTGATGAGGATTGGCTCTTGGTCTCTGGAATCTTCTCTGGAAGCTTCTTTTCCTCGACAACCAGTGGTAGGGGAAGCGTTGGTGTTGCTCGCGCAGAGCTCAATTCCGATTTAATTGGGGTTTCGCTGCTCAGAGAGTGCACTTTGGTCTCTCCAGTCTTCTCATAGACGTCGAGGTCGATGCCCATCTGAGGTGGAATGCTAAAGTTGTATGGGGAGTCTTTGTCGCGTTGGCGTTCCTGGAAAATTGTGATGTTTAGGAGTTTCTGGTGTTTCAGAAAGTCAGAATTCTTGAAATTCAGAAAATTCAAAATTTTTGAATTTTTGAAATTTATGGATTTTTGGAAATTAGATTTTTGAAAGGAATTCCAGTTTTTTTTTTAATTTTTCGAAAATTCCAGAATGTCAGAATTTCAGAATTTCAGAATTTCAGAATTTCTGAATTTCTGAATTTCTGAATTTCTGAATTTCAGAATTTCCAAATTTCAGAATTTTAGAATTCTCGAGTTTTCGAAAATGGAATTTCAGAAATTCGTTTTTTTTTGGAATTTTAGGATTTTTCGATTTTTCGAAAGTTCTACAGCTTTTTGGATTTTCAGAAATTTTGGGAATTCGAATTCGATTTTTCGAAAATTTAGAAATTCCAGAATTTCAAAATTTCAGAACTTCAGAATCCGAAAATCCGAAAATTCCAAAACTTTAAAGTTTCTCAAAATTTAAAATTTTCGAAAATCCTGAAATTTCAAAAAATATTCCATTCGAATTTCCAAAATTTCGAACTCTCGAATAGTCAAAACTTTCTAGAATTTTCGAAACTTCTGGTCCCCAATCTTTTCTATCGAATTATATTTTTTTTTCATTCCCATTAATGACTCAAAAATTATATATCATTTCCTGGTGTCCCAGGTACCCCCTGGTCCCCTCCCTTGACCTTTAAAGGCTCCCAATGTTTTCTCAATTTGCCCTTTCCTTGCCCTTTATTTGCCCATACACACACACTTATATATGTGTTGATGACTAATTACTGTCTCATTTCCGTCTCGTTTACATATACAAAAATAGGGGGAAAGTAATAAGAAAAATCAACAAACCTTGAAGAGTGTGTTGCGGAACCAATGCTTGATTACTTTCTCCGGAAGTCCCGACTTTTGGGACATTTCCTTGATTTGAGCCTCCGATGGGGAGTTGTTGATGTTGAAGTATTGTCTGAAAATGTAAGGAATTTCAGAGAATTCGAAAAATCCGGAATTTTGAATTTGGAAGGATCTTACTATTAGGCCAAATATGAAATTCGGAAAAGTTTCAAAAACCAAAAAAGCCTAATAATTTCAGATAGCTCCCAAATAAAAAAATCCAACAAATTTAAGAAGTTTCAAATTTTTCAGAAAATCTAAAATTAGATGTTTTCATGATAAGTCTAAAAGATAGACATTGAGATATTTCCACGGTATTCAGAGAAAGGAAAAAAACCCAGAAACCCAAGAATTTTAGAATTTTGGAAAATTTAGGTTTTCGGAAGATTCGAAAACTTCCGAAAGTTCAGATAATCTCAAAGTTCAGGAAATTCCTAGCATTCCTAGAATTCCAAAATTCAGATATTCCGATGACTTAGAAAATCCAAAAATTCTGAAATTCAGGATTTCCGAAAAATCTTAAAATTCCCAAAACCTGAAAATTATAGATCGCTCAAAGACTTCAATTTTCAGAATATCGAAGTATTCAAAAATGCAAAAGTTTCTAAAAAATTTTCCTAATTTCTAAATTCCTGAATTTCTGAATTTCTGAATTTCTAAATTTCTGAATTTCTGAATTTCTGAATTTCTGAATTTCTGAATTTCTGAATTTCTGAATTTCTGAACTTCTGAATTTCTGAATTTCTGAATTTCTAAACTTCCTGGGATTCCAAATTTCTGAATTTCTGAACTTCCTGGGATTCCAAATTTCTGAATTTCTGAATTTCTGAATTTCTGAACTTCCTGGGATTCCAAATTTCTGAATTTCTGAATTTCTGAAATTTCTGGGATTCCAAATTTCTCAATTTCTCAATTTTTTTTGCGAATTTGCTAATTCTCGGATTTTCCAAATTTTTACCCCCTTATTATAATCCATCCCACTTCCAACTGTTCTGTTGTTTTTTTCCTAGCGAAATTGATTGATTTTCATTGAAAAATCACCACACGAAATGTTTGTTCTTCATTCTCATTCTCTTTTCTCCCAATTTTCGCATTTTTCCATCACCTCCTCTTCTCTTCTCGGCCCACCTATTGTTTGCAATTCATTTTCATTGTCGCTGCCCTCCCACCCCCAACCGTAAAACTACAGTAATCTTCGGGAACGAAAAACGTTTTTCTTTTAGGACGATTTTTTTGGATCGGCTGAGCTAAATGGTTTTTGAATCTGTTTTTATCGAATTTGGAGTTTTACGAGCTTTTTATTAAAGTAAGAATCAAAACTGTAGCTCAACCACTAAGGGGAGTATGGACATTTTCTCTAGGTGAGCTACACGGCGACAACCTACCGATAGCGCGCAAAACAGCGAATAAGAACTCACCTCAAAACCTTTAACTGATCATCAGTGATCCTTGTCCTCGCTCGCTTCTGTGTGGAACTATTCCCAACGTTTGCAGCAGCAGCTGCAGCCGCCGCTGCAGCCGCCGGATTCATCAACTGATTCAACATCTCCGGTGAGAACCCAGAAAACGCACCAGCGGCTCCAGGAGGTGCCATGAATGGGAAGCAACTCATCATCTGTTGAAACATTGCGAATTGATTGGCAGCTGCGTTTGGATCAACGTTATGCTCCATCTTGATCTTCTTCTCCAGAGGCTCGTCATCATTGCTCTGTGGGCTCTGTGAGCCATCATTACTCTTGTTCTCCCGATTGATATGCTGTACGGCGACTAGAATCTTCTCACCGAACTTCCTAAGAACATCAGATGGGATTTTCGAGGAGTGAGATTCCTCGTAATGAAGGTTGAGGGCCAGGATTCCTACGATTTGCTGACCACAAACGCCACAATCGATTTTCGAAATTTCCAGTGCTTGCTGATCGTCAAACAGTGCAATGTTGTCGATTTTCCCATCTAATCCTGGGACCAAACTTGTGATTTTGGGTTCCCCATAGACTCTGATTTGTGTGAGCAATTGAAGACCATTCACTTCTTCTCGAACGTCATCAGATTCCGACCTAGTGAGCAGCGACATCAGGTCGTTGAGATTGGGTTGGGAGGAGGTCTGGAAATGGGGCAAAATTTGAATGATTGCGAAATGATTTGAGAAAGTGATCGTAAACATTTGGGAGGGGAGCCTAACGATAAATATAATTTTCGAGATGATGAATCATCATCTATGGGAAAGAAGAAACCATGGTCAACTAAATATCGTCCAAACGTTGAATTTAGTGTCAAAAATTAGGCGATTTCAAGAGTTCAAAAAGGTGGCTCTCTTTGGTTGGATTTGTCTGAAATTTGCAGAGTATACTAGACAAGACTAGAGCTTCATTTTTGTAGTTGACAACTTTTTGGTAAAATTTCAGTCTGATGAGTTATTCGACATGGAAGAGGCCAACCTTTCCCCCCTCCTTTCTGTTTTTGGCGCACCCACCCCCTCCCCCCTCAAAGGGGGTGGAGAGGTGGCGCCAAAAAAAGAAGGTCTTTTCCACGTGGCATATCTCTTTAGGCTCAAAAGTTACACAAAGCTTTCAACTACGAAATTGAAGCTCTTGTTTTGTTCTATATTCTCTGAAATTTCCAAACTAATTCAATAAGTTTGAAGTGTTTTCTAGCTTGTCAGAAAATATGAGGGGAAGGATAGTGCCAAAAAAGAAGGGTCTCTTCCAGGTGATGTATCACCCCAGGCGTAAATCCTACAAAAAAGTTGTCAACTACAAAAATGAAGCCCTTGTTTTGTAATCTCGAAAAGTTACAAACAAATTGGATAAGCTGAACTTATTTTTCAGACGCTCAAAATCGATGATTTTGATCTGAATTTAGACAAAAATAGGATCAAGGGATATTTACGGATCTAAAAGCTTCAAGTTTTGTGTTTTCGACTCACCGTCTCAATGAAGCTCTGAATGGTCTGCGCAGGTATACCCGGTTGCTCGAAGACGGGCTTCTCTGGGTTCAGATCTCCGTTGGCGACCAATTCGGCCAGCCGACCCA